GAGTGTACGTTAATCACTCAGCGAAATAATGAGGTAGAACATACTTCGGTAACCACCCATGTGTCAAGGACGTACAGGAGCGCTCTCGGGAGGCCCCAGTTACACTTCAGCAGAGGTGCCGCGTGAGGTCCCTGGCTACTTAAAACTAACATAGGCGCCATTGTGCTCATAGGATAACCCAGAGTGCCAAATAGCATCCTGTTAACAACGATGCAGATTGCGTCAATCGCTAAAGTGACAAAAATCAACAGGGTTTTTTCTTTAACACAGAAAAAAATTATTTGACGTGTTTTAAACATCAGTGTGACTGATGCAATATGTTAGCATTACTAATGGTCTATTATTAGATGCTCGATCTCAATTTCTCTTTGGATCATCTAAAAATAGATGCTAATTGCATCATTCGCAGTGACGACACTATTTGGATTTTTTACAGACAAAAAGAAACATCCCAATTAATAATCTAACCTTGGTTAATTTTTCTGATTATTAAAATAAAACGTATTATATGGCCCTCAGCGGCCCATGTGAGCCTTCGGGGGTTGAAACTGAAATTTTTGTTCGCAGCCAAATCGCACCTATCGGGGCGCCAGCAGACACGCCTGATTCAATTCAGTGAGCGACCATATATATTATATATATTTCTAATACTAGTAATTGTGTCTGAAAATTATTTGCATTTAGTCATTTAGCACTCATTATGTCCCTTGATTAGGATAACACAGTTACTTCCCTTTAAAAGGTCATTACGGGGGGGGGGGGGGGGAGAATTTACTTTCTATTACTTTGTTTTGGTGTTAGGGAAAAAAATAATTACATAATTAGCGGGGATTGATTAAGTGCAATGTTGTTGGTTATTTAATACTGCCTTTTATTTATTCATTACACTGAACGTACTGTTTTCTTATTATTATTTTTAATCAAAGAAGTAACAAAAGGCATCTTTATTCGGGAATGGGAATTCCCGCACGTTATTATTTTTGTCTTTTTTTTTTTCGTTTTCATTTTAGTCTGTCCTTTTTTGCGCACGAAGGGGAATTTGTTTTTGTTGGTTGCACCAGAAAGCTCTTTTATAGACACCTACACCAAACTACAAGAAGATATACTATTTTATAGAATACTAGCCGTCCCAGATTCGTGTTGTGTTTGTATTGTGTTTGTGTTGTATTTGTATTTGTGTTTTCTTTTGTTCTGTTCTTAAGTTAGTACATTAAAAAATGATTCATCGTGGCGGAGCATGGGTATACTGCTAGTATATAAATATGAATATATATATATATATATATATATATATATATATATATATATATATATATATATATATGAATGTATAAATGAGTTAATCAGTACTTACGGTCACAAAAATCAATATAGCCCTCATATTTGGTACAAAAATTTCTTCGATCATCATTGCGATTATACTCTGGGTCAATCATAACTTGCGTTGTAGGAACTAAAATTCATATTCATTACCATTAAAATTAACATCGAAAACAAAATTCTCCAATATTCAATGATTTCATGTGAATGTTTACATAAACAGACACACAAGTACCCTTGATTTGAATGCTTCCATGAACAACTAACTTATTGATATGATGTGAATGCTTACATTCAGATACTAAACCAAGTACTTATTGATTAGAATGCTTACATGAACAACCAGCTCATTTATTTTATTTGAATGCTTACATTAACCAGACACTAAACCAAGTACTCAATGATTTTATGTGAATTCTTACATGAACAACCAGATATTAAACCAAGTACTTCTAGTACAAGCATTTTGTAAAGAATTATTGTATCCATAAATAAATGATTTAAAACAGTTACCTTTCTTAGGAATACAAAACATGGATGAAAGTGGTTTGGGCCATCCACCATCAAAGGCTGCAAAACTGAGCTTTTTAAAAAAGTAAAAAAATTAAATACCTTAAGCAATAAGATTATTAATGGTATTTAATAAATATAAATATAAGACTATAAGACGTTTTAAGGAAATAATTCTGGGGAAAAATAGTTTGGCTTATGTTGTCAATATGATATATGTAATTATTATTAAAACTTTTGATAGTGTGTCATCTGCTATGAACTAAAAGGCAAACTGGATGGAGAAGCAAGACTAGAACAGCTTGCTTGTCTTGATCTGGTTTTGTAAAAATATTCAGTTGAAGATCCTTAAATTCGTGTTGACATAAAATGCAGTAATATAGAGAATTTACATCTAGTTAGTCTAGATTCTAGATTCTCTAGTTCAGTACAAAAACTTTCAGAATGAGGTGCACAAAAAAGATATATAAAAGATCGAATACCACTTTATGAGGTCAAATAAATAAACAGGTTATACACTTTGTCCCAAACCTTTTAATACCCAAAGACTTATAAAAAAGTGGCTTTACAAATAGTGCAAACAAAACGCAAAATTTAGAATGTATCAAATGTAGTGACTTAAATTACCTGTTCCAATTTAGTAAACCCCTCAATGCCTTTCTGTCCAACAAAATACCAAACATCTCTGAAACGTAAGTTTTGTATGTGGCCACTCCCAATTTTATTGAGAAGGTCACGTGCACTCTGACCTAATCTAATCATAAAGAAAAAAGTTAACAGATTGTTTTAAAATATATATTACTTATATGATTTTAAATATTCATTACATAAAACATGTTGTTTGATATTGTAATACAGTGGTACAACAAAGAACAAATGCAATCAATTTTTACAGCCCATGCATTCTTATCTATGAGGTGTTCATCTAACAAAATGAAATTTCTCAGATAAATATGGGAAATAATTTAACTTGTTCCATCATGGAGTAAAAATTAAGAAATATCAATTAAAAGCATTACTAATTAAACCAATACCTAAAATGACCTCACACCTCAGTTTACCACCTCTCTCAAAATTAAAAAAAAAACATTTCTTTGATAAATTTCTATTGTAATTTACAAAATAAAATCCTTTATAAATGTGAGAAAATGAGAAAAAAATGTAATTGCAAAAGTGTGTAGACATGCTTTCTAAAAACACCTCCCCCCCCCCCCCCCCGTCTCCTACTTTAATATGACGTCATTTATAGAACAACCTTAATACATTTAAGTAAACAGAATTAAGATTTAAAAAATTGATATCTATTATCAAAATACATCTTACAAGTACATTTTTTCCACATGAGAAAATATTATTTATATTTTGCATGAACTTTGTGGATGAGAGTAAACAAGAAGGGGGGGGGAACTGATTTTTAACATTTTTGTAAACTTCATAAATGGAGGATGCCCTATTTGCTTGAGAATAGATTTTATTTAAGGAAACAAGTAGTAGTAATTATCCTATACACCCTAGGTTTCCAAACTTTTTCAAAAGGTGACCCCTTTTTATAATAGCTGTGTGTGTTTTATAAGAGCTGAATTGTAATAAATAATATACAAAAAAGAAAAGTAAATAAAATCAATTAAAAGAATTGCTCTCGCTTTTGTTGTTTACATAAAATTACAACACACTAACAAAAAATCTTTACTAGATTACACTTACTTGAATAGTTATTTTTGAATATATGAAATTATTCAAATTTCTAGATATCATTAAAATCTTTAAAAAATAAAACTAAACTTAATATTTTTGTTTGGATTAGTCTAAGTTGGCGTCCCCCCCAGAAAAAACTTCGTGAGCCCCTAGGGCAGGGGTCTGCAACCTGCCGCTCCATGCACACATATTAATAATTATTTTGTTTTATTTTAAAAACTCATAAACATATTGTTCTGTAACACTCGGTAATGAATGATATAATAATAAACATAAGCAATACACACTCGCTATTCTATTAGAATATTTAACTACTTCCTATTTCAACGTACTTCCTATTAACTTGTTTATCCCAAATTGAAACATTCAACTTCAAGGTGGATATCACAAAGAAAATAAACGAGCTAAATGTAAAACTGCAAAGAAAGGAAAACCCAGCATATACTTTGCTTGAAGAAGTGGCTTGTTTCGAAAAAAATTACTTCATTTTGTTGAAGACACGGAGAGCGTTAAATTACTTATTTAAAAAAATCTGGGAAAAAATATCGTGATAAAACTAACGCTACTATTAACATGAATTACTTCAGCTTTACTATAAACAAAATGAAGGATGAGTTCACAGAGAGATTTGAGCAATTCAAAAGAAATGCAAGTACTCTGACGTTCATAGTAGATTCTCTCAACACAAAATCAATGATATAAACTTTGAACTATTTGAAATTAATGCTGGTTCTCTTCAAATGAAATTGCTAGATTTGAAAACCAAAAATTTGTGGAGTGGTAAGTTCACAGATATCAAGAGCTGCACAAGTGGTCTGCTCTAAAAGAAATACCGCGAGTTGAGGCACTATTGTTTGACGCATGGAATAGTCTCCCAGGATGCTACAATGAGGTGAAGAAGTTGGCAATTGGAGTGCTGACGATCTTCGGGTTAACATATTCAAGCAAGTGTTTTCTTTCATGAATATAATACAAAGTATAGGAAGCCAACTAACTAAAAAATCTAGAGGCGTGTTTGTATTTTTTGGCTCTTTCGTCTTAAAAGATTGCCGACCCCCTGCCCTAGGGCGATCCACAGTTTGGGAACCATTGCTATACACAGTACAAGAAATAAAATAATTTATTTACTTGTTAGATGCATCATCTGCAATGACAGCTATGACTATTTCATTCATGTGAAGTGTCTCAAGTAATAGCTCCAAATCTGTGCTGTCTGGTACAGTTAAAAAATCATTTAGAAAGAAACAATACCTTATTAGATTTTTAACAGTAATCAAATAATATTTTTTAATATATATTTGTAAAATAAAAGGTATTTCATTATAAATTAAGATTTAACAGCCAATGTCAAATCTTTATCTGAGGATAAATTGCTAAGTCATCTGCATTAATTTTCTGTTTAAAACTGATTACCCACTTTAGCATATAGAACTTATAGCAACATATAAATTCACAAAACAAAACAAAAATAGTTAATATATTTTAGCAAAAATGTAAAACATTTCATGATTTTATTTACTATATTATCCAAGTTTTTGTTAAAATTAATTAAGAAAATTATTTTCTTCAATAAAAACCATTCAAAACAATGAAATTAAATTTCTGGAAAAAAAAATAACAACCAGTTTTAACAAAAAAAAAAAAAAAAAATATGAAGTTTTGCCAAAGTTTGCTTTTGCTGTAGATGTAAAAATCACAAAATATTTAAATAAAAAACCATTTCAATACTATATACCTTGTCATTTTAAGCTGCTGAAAAATGAATTGTAAATAAAATTTTAAAATAGTCAAATTATTTATTAGTACTATTATTTTTTATTTAGTACTTATTTTACTTTCTCATATACAGAGTATAGAGAAAGTATTGTAATCGTGCACAAAAATCACATGAAATTTTGACAGTTTCCACCGTTTTACTTCTCGGTACTTCATCATAAATGGAGTATAGGGGACTTATTTTAATCGGGCAAATATTCTAAATCCAGATTTATTAAAATTTTGGCGTGGTACGCGTAATCGAGTCATGCAAGTAAAAGAAATAATTCTCTCGCTTCTATCAAATTTTGAGTTATTTCCGTTGACCGGAAGTATTTATTTACGCTATTTCCGATTTCTCAAAAAACGCATGTGAATTTATAAAGTACTAATAATATCCCGCACTATTATGCACATTTTGTTTGGCGTTCCTTTGGTGTGCAATTCTTTTTTCTAGAGATTCCATTCTATTTTAAAAAGTTTGAGTAATTAAAAATTGTTTAAAATATTGTCTATATCCCGAGTTGCCATCCCCCGTAGTGTTATATAAGAATATTTGAGAAAGTTTAGGGGAGACTACTCCCGGTTTATTTATTTTAGTACTTTTTATTACTTTATATTAGATTTGTCTAGAGGAAGAGTATCCATGACTAATGATCTCAGACAAAATATCCCAGACAAAATATCTCACGGACAAATGATTTTTCTTAAAATTTTTTGTAAACATACATATGGGATTATCCATTTCTGATGTCCACAAAAATTTCAGATTTCCATTACCAACCCAAAACGCAAGCAAATTATTACAAACTTCATGGGGTTATGCCAACAGTATAATTGTCTGTTCTCTGTGAATGTATTTCAATGATTAATATTAGCATTTAAGCAAACAAGATTTATAAGTCCCAAGACCTCCTCTAGTTCATGACTTCTATTTCTGTTTACTTAATTGCTCCAAAGAGGTGCTATTTTTATTTGTTCATACATAAATGACGTCACGCTCCACTGGAAACAGAATTTAAGCCATTGCTTGACATACTTAATTTTTTAAAATTTTAATAATAATCAATCTTGACCTACTCAATATTGCCCATGCTCATTAAATATATGGGGTATTTTTAATGTTTTTTCTTTTTAAATACAGTTTTGAGAGGTGTGGTAGGCTGAGGTGTGACATCATTTTAGGTGTTAAGTCTGGTTTTCAGTGAAGATTAGTGATGTTAGGGAGGGAGGGAGGGGAGGTAAAAATTGTTATAAATCATGAAGTCAATTATAATATAGACCCCTCCCACCCCACAAAACTTGATTTTTTTTCTGACCCTATCCACTTTTGTGTGGAAATCATAAATGGTTGATCCCTATGTGTGTTAACATTAAAATTTGGATATGGCTATAAATGGTTGGAGCAATGCCTAGCCAGTGACAGGCTAGTAAAAGTATTAAGTAACAACCTTTCTTATCATTTTTTTTAAAACTTGTGTCAACAAAAAGAATTTAGAGATCATGTTCACAGACACACATACACACACATGGACAAGATTGCAAAACTATCTTTTCCAACTCAGGGAGGTGTAAAACGTCGAGATTTGTAAAAATCTTCTTTTGCACGATTACAATACTTCCTCTGTACTTCGCATATGAGAAAGTAAAAAGTAATATAATAAATGGGCAAATATTGGATGATGGGTTATGATTAAGTGAAGCTAATAAACACTGCTGACAAAAGTAACATAATTACAAAAATGTAAAAGACGTGAAATTATATATTGAAGTTGTCCACATTGAAAGAGTGATAAGCATTTCACTGATTATTTTAGAAAAAATGAGTAAAAATATTTTTTAATAAATGCAAAAGGCAGTTTTTAATTCTAAATAATACATCCCTCTAGCAGACTGCACCTGCAATACATATTTTTTAAGCAAATCAAGCATGCTTTATTAATGCATTCATAGTTTCACTTACCAAAGGTATAAGTATCCATATGAGAAAGTCTAGATGGCTGCAGAGTTTCATTATCAAGAATAACAACATTAAAACCTCTTCCAGCATCATTTGTTTTACTGTCCATACGACTGAAATACACCAAGACCATAAGTTACAAGAAGCAACACAAGCAGTGAAAAATAAACACAATATAGCCTACTTTTGTCATGTCAATATTTGGTAGAAAAATATAACTTTTTGAAGTGTTTACAAGAGATTATAATAATTAGGTGTGGCCTAAGCAGTAGAGCGTTAGGCTGCTAAACCTTAAGTCTCGAGTTCCAAGTCAGTAGAACGTCCCTGGTTCAAACCAACTCTGATGGGTACCTAACACATGTCATGGAAAGTAAAGGAGGCTGGGCAAAGTGCTGACCACACCTTCCCTTCATATGCCAAAATCAAGAAACATATAAACTCTAATCCATCTGCCCAATAGATAGCTAGTTCTGAAGAGGACTCTTTACTTACAAGAGATTATTCTGTGCTATTATCAATGAATAAACTATTTACAAAAAATAACGACTTGCACCAAAATGTAATTAGGAAAGATAATTTACATATATCCATCAACGCAGATAGTTGGCTTTCGCACATTCCCATGACCTGTGTCTACAAACACAGACACACTGCCTACAGGACAAGGTTCTGTCAGACCACAATTTTCATGGCGTTCACCAAGCTTTATGGCACCGTCTCTCAACACCTCAGGCACAGTGTTTTCCATACTCATTTTTTTGCCCACTGACAGTCAATTAAAGTAAATTTAGTACATAAATAGAATTTAAAAAGATGATTATGACATACAGATTTTGAGACTCTGTATGTAGTAATTAGCAGAGATAGTTAATATTTTGTATTTAAAAGTGAGTAACAACTATATTGAAAAAAATGTCTTTAAATAGTTTTTGTTTTAAGAAAAATTGACCTTATTATTAAAGTTAAATAAGACTGAGTAAATCACTTACATGGGAATGAAAAGCACCCAGCTTTTTCTATAGGCAAAGCAAAACTATCTTCTTTTTTTGATTGCTTTGCCATATACTGAAATAATTTTACAAGATCAATAAGTAAAATTTGACGATGATGTGTCAAAGCAGTTATACAATATACAAAACAATTGTTATACAATGCTTAAATATAAAAACAGCACAAAACCATAATATTAAATTATTTAGCTCAATACCCTTTAAATGTGTTTTGTGTTTATCGTCCTTTTTCTGTGGTTTATAGATATAATTTTAGTTACATAAAATACTCCACCTTGCCCAGTTTATCCATCTATCTGTCTGTCTAATCTAATCGAATTTAATCTAATCTAATCTATCGATCTTTCAATCCATTGAATAGATCAGGGATTGATCAGACCATAAAAAAAGAAAATTTTCTTTGGAAAGAACCAAATATGTTTTATCATTTTTTAAAATTGCAGTTAAAGCAGTCTTATGCAATTACTCTACTAATTAATTGTTAACTATTGATAATATTTTAAATAAAACAAGTTTAATCTAAAATAACAAAGAAAGTCTTGTCTAATTGCACTTTAATGTTTACCTTAAAAACAACTTTAAAACAAATTTTACAATTTAACAAAAATGGAAATTAAATTTTATTTTAACATAATTTAAATTTGAACTGTAATGGTCCAGTTGGACTCTTGTTTTCAATTATGACTTATATCCTTTTACTTTAAAGATGAGCATGGTAAAAATGTAAGTCTTCAACAGTAAAGAGTATAGATCTAGATAAGATATAGACTAATAATTTTATTGTCATTTAAAAGTTTGGTAAATTTAGTTCTCATAGTCACCTTTTGCAAGGATTTTAACATTAGTTTGAGGTTGAGAAATAAAACGGAGGCAAAGAAAAACTGTAGATTGGATAGATGTAAAAACAGGGTGAGTTAAAATACCAGCAGATAAATTTGGTTATGGTTAGATAACATACATGCGAGGTAAATGGTTAAGAAACAGGACTCTGGAGATGTTCGTTGAGATTACATTTTCCCATATTTTTTATGAATATTTAACTGAAAAGAGCGGAAACTTCAGACTAAAATATTTGCCATCTGAAAAATTTGGAAATCCACAGAAATTCAGAATTTAATCTGTATCTAGAATCCAGACCTAGTGTAATTGAAATATTGAAAAGAAATGCACGTATTTGATTGTCTGTTTGAACTAAGATCGCTACTGCAAGCCAAGCGTAATAGTCGATTAAATAGGAATATGTAGGCTGTTACCATGTCATTTAAATTTTTTTCTTTTTTTTTTAAGCTGGAAAACAGCCAGCAATGAAACATTAGCATTATGTTTGTGTTGACTATGCATTAGAAAATAGTTTACGGTTTTATGGAACGCACCTGAAGACCCAAACACCCTTTGAAAAATATTTCAGGTGTTTTAAATATTAATGTAGCATAAGTTCCTTTATTTAATTTGTTTTATACATTTTCATGTCCAATCATTGAATGTAAAATTCATTTGATGCTTTGTTATGTTTAACTAAATCATTATGTGTAAAAAATATATATACATAGACAATTAATAAAAAATTTAAAAATGCATAAAAACATATTATTAACAAGCTTTAATGCACTAAAAGGAGGAAATAAATAATTTTCTGGAAATAAAAATAGCTTAAAAGGCATATATCGCTATAATTTTATGTAATGAATAACACGTTTTTTATGCATTTCTTACAGTACTTTAAAATAAATTTAAAATACATTTACACATATGCACTCAAATACACATGTGTGCATGTGCGTGTGTGTAAATGTATATATTGATGGTCTTGGTTGCAAACTGTCTAACTCAAAAATATTGAATTTTCAGTTTTTTAAATAAATCAAAAGCCAGTGTATGATTCCCGATAATGCTTGAAAATATTATAGAAATCTGGAGAATGATTATAGAGATATAACCCTTTGACCAAAAAAACCTTGGTGCAAAATGAATCATGCGGTTTCTGTCGGTACAACACAGCAATCAAAGTAACTATAGGTAAGGATATTAGATTAATTATGTTAATCTATTCTATCATTTTAAAGAATAATAAACAAAGAGTATTTGTTTAATATAGCCTATTTCTAGTTAGCTTTTGAGAACCAAACTGCTTTGTTTACATTTTATTAGGCTAACCTAATGCTTTGATACTAAATTCTAGTCAAGATCTAGAATATTATTCGAATCAAATTTCCACAAACTTGTGCAATAAAATATAATTATTTTTAATTCATTACTAGCTTTAGAAATTTTAATATGTTAGGTCACAAAATGTTTGGCCTACATGTTAAATGACAAAATTAAACTAAATGGAGCTTAAATGACTATTCCCAAACTGTGGGTCACGAGTCATGAGTATGAAACCTTCCAAACTATGACGCTTTTTGAGACGAGTCATTCGGAACACACCAAAAAAGAAATGGAGTTCTTTTCGTCAGCATGTAGCTAGTTGCAAACGCCAGACTTGATTGAACAGAAAGTTTTTGCCAAGGAAACACAGCATTAGTGTAAGCATCATATGAAGGTGGCATTAAAAATTGCCAAGCAAAAATAAAACCTCTCACACAATAGAAGAAAATCTCATCAAAACCTGCAAGATGAAGATGGTGAAATTAATTCTTGGGAATTTCATTGCAGTAAATATGCAACAAAATATCTCTGTCTAATAATACTTTTCAGCTGCCTATAGCAGACATGTCTGTAAATGTTAAAGAACAAAATTGGAATGAAAAACAAGCTTTCACCATTGTTTGCTTTTCAAGATGATGAATCAACAGACGTGAGTTAGTGTTCACAGTTGCTTTCTTTGTGAAACATTCATTCAGATGATAGCAAAGAAGAGTTGCTATTTTGTGAAGATATGATGGAGAAAATAAATAAGTTTTTTTAAAAACTGGATGATTTAAATGGGAAAACGGCTATAGGTTTATGCAAAGAAAAGTTGTAGCCTAAATCTTGTTTTTGAATTGATAGATGAAATCAAGTTGTTCTTGGAAGGGCAAGGTAAACAAGACCTTTTGATATACTTTAACGACAAAGAGTGGTTGGAGTGAGTAGCATACCTAGCAGATATATTCGAACAGCAAAATAGGCTTAAACCTGAAAATGAACAAATATTATTTCTTTTGATGATAATCTCAGGCATTTTTATCAAAGCTGCAAAATCGGCGACGAAAATTAAATCTTGGAAATAATTGCCATGTTTGAGAAACTCTGCAGTGTGGTAGGTGAATCTGATTGTGAGATAAATAAGAACGAAAGAGGATATTTCTGGGCATCTAGAATCTCTTGAATACGAACTGTGGTGTTATTTCCCTGAGTAGAAAAAAGAGGAATCTTCATTGACACGTAGGCTAACCCATTCTCTGCTTCCCCTGATGTTGTCATCATTCCCGATGAATTACAAGATGAATTCTCAAGCTTGCAGAAAGATTGAGAATGACATGAGGTTGGCAACAAAAACCCAACCGCGAATGTTCAGGTTAATTAATAGCATGCAATTTCACTCATTGTATTAAAACAGTTATCAAGAATAATTAATATTGAAAGTCTACTAGAAAACCACATTTTAGTGCTTATTAATTTCCTCACTAATTTTGACTTTTTAATTCCACTAACGTTCACTTACTTTTTATAAAAGGGGGTCGCAACTCAAAAGTTTGGGAACCACTGGACTATTTGGTTTAATATATAACAAGCATGATTCAATGGTTAACAGATAGAAAATTTGGCTTTTTATTTTGCATGCTACATTGATTAGTATTACATGTGTAGATTTCAGATCAAACTTGAAATTTTTTAATCACATAATCTGAAATTGTAATTACAAGAAGAAGGCTGTTTAAATTTAGCGAGCAATCTCAAGCTGTTCAGCAACAAAATAATGTCATTTTTTTTTTTGTCACAAAAATATTCAGTCTGACTTACCAAAAAAAAAAAAAAAATCAGTTTTATCTTTCAAGATCAGACTCGATAGTCACATCGAATAAACTATCTCTCACCATTTTTACACAACACTTTAATTTTACAAGTTTCTTATTGTAGAAAAGTTAAGGAAACAAAACTTTAAAGCCTTGTTGTGAACATTTTTGAAAAGTGGAACTAGAACAGTCTGGTTCTAAAGAAGCAATGTTCGTGCGTGTGTTACAGTGTGTAATAATCTTTAGTTTAAGTATGACCTTACATATTCAATAGCGCTTCCTTTGGCAAGTCCTCTGTGTCCAATCATTATAAAATTTTCCCGAAAGCCAACTTGTGTTATGAGTGAGCTTCCAAACAATGTTAACCAATGACGGGCTGTTTCTTTTAATCTAGAATATTACATATATGAGAAAATAAAAGAATTAAACAACAAAAAACAAGAAGAATCAAACAAAACATTTTTAATCTATGAGCAAAACTTAAAAACTCATGCACAAATAAACTGACTAGAATGTATAGATTTAAAAATAACTATGCAAACCCGTAAGATGCATCATCAAACGTTGCTATTAACAAAATGTCTTCATCTTTGGCATCTTTCTTTAAAAATCTTAAAAGTGATGAATCTGTTGCAAAATGAAAATGAAAACAATTTTATAAGATTTCTATTAACTATATCTCACGTACAGTAAAACAACCTTGTTTAATACATTTTATTAAAAGATACATATAATATTTAGAGAAAAAAAAACATTTATTGTTGAAGTGAATTTAGTAGTCCTATCTAAAATTAAAAACTTTTTTTAAATGTACAAACAACTAATTTAACAACACTAAAAGGAATTAGTAATCTGATAGAAAAAGTAGTAATCAAGTAGAAAAAGCAGTATTAAGATAAAACAAATATAAAAAAACTTTTTAGCAAAAAGCTTAAAATGCACTTAAATGAAGAAAATAAAACTAATTTGCTTTCTTTAATAAAAGCTTTTGTCACTAAAATATGTAAAAGATCTTATAAGCGACAAAAACATCTATTAAAGAAGGTAAATTAGTTTTATTTTCTTATTTTCAGTGCATTTAAAAGTGTGTTGCTGTAAAGGTTTTTAATATTTATTTTATTTTCTACCAATTAGTCATTCCTGCTTTATGAGGTTGACACGACTAAAAACATTTGCTTTAAAACACCATTGGTAGCTCGCAATATGAAAGACAATTATTGTAGAAAGACAATATTGTAGATGACGATAGCAAATTCTTAATCACTAGCCATTGGTACCTGTTTCACGTGAATTATAGGCCCATATATTTTAAAATGTACTTGTTTGAGAAAAATAATTTATAAAATAGTTATTGGTCAAAACCCAATGTGCATTACTACACGCTGAACGATATTAGTGACAAAGCAAAGAAATAACTAATTAGCTAAAAATCCGACACATTTAACATAATACAGGCACACACTGATTAAGTGACTTAAATGATTCCGTTAAAAAACTCGGCTATTCCACGGTATTCTTCTTGTTTTTAAAGTGATTTATTTTTATTAGGGTTTTATGAATAAGACTAATGGATTTAAATGAAATAGTTCATTTCTTCATCGGTAACCATACCATATTAAATGCACTCGCTGATTAAGAGACTTAAAATTAAGAGACTTAAAATTAAGAGACTTAAAAGATTTCTTTAAAAACCCGGCTGTTTAATGATAGTTATGTTGTTTTTAGTAGATAGTCTAAATCCAGATCTTAGCGTCTACGTCTAGTTTTTCCGTAGATCTAGTCTAGATCTAGAATCTCTAGATCTAGAATCCAAATAGATAAAGTAAATTTTATAAGTTTGGGCCGAGAAAATTGTATTATATCAGGGGTCGGCAACCTGCGGCTCGCGAGCCGCATGCGGCTCTTTTGATGTCAAGTTGCGGCTCTTCAGCTCCATGCTCCAAATATTAATACTTATTTTATTTTATTTCCAAAACTCATAAAAATATTAGTCTGCAACACTCTGTAATAAACGACATAACAATAGTTATAAACAATAAACATTCACCATTCTATTAGAATATTAATAGCTACCCCCTATCTCAGTGTACTTCCTATTACATTGTCCATTCCGAATTGAAATATTCAACTTCACAAAGAAACTAAACCAGCTAAGTGTAAAACTGAAAGGAAAACCCAGCCTATGTCTTGCTTGAAAAGGTTGTTTGTTTTGAAAAAAAATATGTTTGTTGAATACATGATGAGCGGTGAATTACTTCATTACGAAAAATCTGAAAAAAAAATATCGTTATGAAACCGATTCAATCACTTCAGCATTAATATAAACAAAATGAAGGGTGTTTTCACTGAGAGATTTGAACTATTCAAAATAAATGCAAGTACTCTGACTTACATAGTAGATCCTCTCAACACAAATTCAAATGAGATTATCTCATATATTCAAAGCTATTTATTTTAAATTATATATATATTATGATATTTGTTTAGGATTATATATATATATATATATATATATATATATATATATATATATATATATATATATATATATATATATATATATAATCCTAAACAAATATATATATATATAGTATGATATTTGTTTAGGATTATATATATACTAAACAAATATAACATTGACATAAAAATGTTAGTGGCTCTTTAAAAACCTGGTAATGTCGTAAATTGTAACTTTTGGCTCTTTCGTCCCAAAAGGTTGCCGACCCCTGTATTATATACATTTCATAGCGTGCGAAAATCTAAATCAAATTTGAATGAAATAGTTCATTTCTTTTTATATTCTAAAATCGGA